CTAGGAGCCAATCATTGTAGTACGGAGACTCTGCGGGGGCCGCGAGCCTGAGTATCTTCTCTCCTTCAAGCCCTTTCAGTCCTCATTCTCTCAGGCCTGGAGTAGCGTGTCCTGGAAGTCTTTGATTGTGTATCGTCCGACCTGAGGCTTCTACTTTCAGTTTGTGATAGTGTGACTTGTCTGTCACGATCTTCTGAGTGGCAAGAGTGTGTGTTGCCTTTGCGTCCCTCTTTTGCTGCCACTCCTTTGCCTTTTATCTGGCTCTTCATAGACTCCATGTCAGCCGCCATTCTTCTTATTACTTTGTCTTGCTCCCTTACGCGATCTTCGAGAACCTGAGGATCCATCTTCCGCCTCTGTCTATCAGGGCTCTGAGAGCGGTGTGGACTTGAACCCTGTCTTTCTCTTACTTTTCTATGAATTCCTTCACTGGGAATCTAATTCTGCCATGGGTGGGATAGAAGGTAAACCTTCACACCTCCCACCCCCTTCCGGTGTTTGCCCATCAATAGTAGATTGTGGCAAGTCTTCATTGTGCGCCATTGCTTTCAACTAGAGAGGAAAACTTTATCAAGAGGTTTTGCTCTTTGTGAAATTCCCACAGATGGCGCCAATTGTACGAGCACGAAATAATGTTTCGTATAATCCTGTTGACCAAGTCTGCGCTCCTCCAAACGTCGTCGCTTTACTCCCTGAAAACACAAATGTGAGTTAGCTGGCGGGTGTGTGCCAGATACCTCTCCGATGCCCAAGTCAGCAAAATAGACAAATAGACAAAAGCTCTGTGTATTCGAGAATCAAAGTTGCGTTACCTCCCCATAGGTTCTGTTATGAGCTTTTTGTAGGTTCCGTGTGGCACAATCTTAGTTGGACTCTTATTCTTCCATGTAGAGTCCTCCTAAGAATCACACTCCTGAAAGATAATGCTTATCCTTCAACACCCCCTCACTGCTTAAACCAAGTGAGATGGTTTTACCACGGTTGGATGATAGTACGACCAATCTAACGCTCTCTTTCATACTTATCCCAGTGCCTTTATATGCAACATATATCTCGGCTCATGTTTTACTTGTACCTCGGTTTTCACCTGTTTGGATCGGGCTAATCTATAGCAAGCTTTGACCGGGCTAAAGAGGCGAGGTCTAGCTTAAGGAGCCCACCGTCCTGACCGCGGTGACTGTAACCACCTGGACCGAGCTAAAGACTAACACCATGGTCCACTTCACAATGCCCTTTTTACCTCGGCCCACAAAACGGCCCATTACTACGCCTAGGCCTAGCTCGGCCCTAATGCACATATAAAACTCGCTCTCAATATTTTTTTTGATAATTGATCCTTTGAAAGTCTATATGGATAGTATATTAAAAAGATTATTAGACAAAACCCAAGAATTAAAAAGAGTATATAAAAAACACTAGCCACCCACATGGAGGGTGGCCGAGCCTTGATAAGTCACAAGCAATTCATTCATGAGAAAGCAAGAACACCCATGGTGGGTAGAGAATATTTTTGCAAAGGGAACAGCTTGCCTCCAGTCCTTAATCGGATTAGACGGTGCTGTTACATGGGATATAAATTATATTTTGTGTCAACATTCATATATTTCTTCTTGATTTTTTTTTAATTAAAAAACAAATAAAAGTAAACATGTCAAGTTTATATACATTATAAAAACCAAAGTTACTTGAACTTAACTCCCAATTGATTCAACTGAAACCCGTTTGAGATTAACTAAAAAAAGTAAATGTCAATTTTTAAAATGTTTTGTTAAAATTTTCTACTCTAACTTGAATAACATACTCCACAACTTGTTTAGAGATTTATTGTTTAATGTAATTGTTGTCGTGTTTAGATTTATAAAAATAAAAAAAAAATCAATTAAACAGGAAGTCAATCATGAAGAAGATAATCATCCTTACCACAATCTTTGTGTAGATCATCCACAAACTTATTTTCTGTTAACCAAGGAAAAAAATTCTAATAAAATTCATTGTTTGTTGTATCAATATCTAGAAACTGCGAAAAATATTTTTAAAATAGGGTCACGTACAATCACTTGTCAATCATGTATATGTTTAAGTTTATAATTTGTCTCATTTACAACTGACCTTAGTAATACAATTTAGTAATAAAGTTTAAAAACACACAATGCATTCACTCTTAAAAAGTGTAACTTATGGCTCTAATCTTGTGACTTGTCGTACGAATCAGAGACTCATTTCGACTGAGATGATGATAATAATAATAATAATGATTAAAATTAAAAAAAAAATCATGTTAGTTTTGCACCAAGCTTTTTGAGCAAAAATGAAAAAGGCTATTGCAAAACTATCTTTTATATATGTTTTTTTTTAAATATAATTTAACTTTTTAAAATATAAATATCATAAAACATTACACTTAATATGATTTTTACTTAATTATTTCACATCTTCTAACTCTCATTATATAATTATTATCCATAATCTATCATATATTATTTCTCATTTTTATTAGTATTTGTCATTCCTTAAGTTACAAAAATCTACTTGCATTACAGTTCATAAATTCCCAACTTGATACAAGACTGAGGCAGGACACTACAAAATTGCCCATAAAACTATTTATTTTATATGAAAACTGATTGATTTGTAACATAAAGAAATGGCCAAAAAATAATTGTTTGTGGATGAAATTTTCTAGTAATTGGCCGAGGGTACCCTCCTCTCCTCTAACAATCACACTAATATTAATTCCGCTTAGTAATTTGCTTGCCAACCCATTGTGGATTGGGGGTGAATCATATTGCTATTATGGAGTAAAGGGAAACACTTAGGCCTTGTTTGGTTTATTTTTGGGAGAGTAATTTTGGAGAAATTTTTCTAAACTTTTGTTTGGTTTAGTGATTTTGGAAAAAAAAAATTCAAATTCATTTTCTCTCTCCTACATATCAATCAATCACTTTTCTCTCTCCTCTCTCATTCTCAATCACTTTTTTTTTTCACACACATCTACTCAACTACAACAAAATATCAAATCATTCAAAACTCTCATACTCCAAAACTATTTCCAAATATACAACCAAACAAACCAAAAAAATTTCTAAACTCTCTCCCCAAATTTTTTTTAAAAAATTTATCTCTCAAAATCAAACCAAGCCCACCCTAAACCTCGCAATATACTAGATAAATCACACCAACTCTTTCAACTATTTTATTGCCCCATGCTTGGTTACAAACTCGTGCTACCGAGCTCGGCACTAATCTAACAGGAAGTTAATTCTTATAAAGACTTATAATACAATCTAACTGAGTGATGTGAGATTTCAAATTAATTAAATCTCAAAAAAAATAAAATAAATAAATGTCAGCTTGTGATAAATTTAGTGTTTGGCTGGAGATTATAAGTAGTGGATGTGAAAAATCACGAAAACTAATAGTGTAACTTTTAGTTAATTCTCGCAATATTCAACAATGTCTTCCAATATTTTGGCAAATACTTCAGAATGTTATCTTTAAAGTAGATGACAATTGATACCACCGTATAAAAAGTAATTGTTTGTTGTTGAAATTCTGTGTGTGGCCTAGGAGGCAAGTGCACCCTCCCTCCATCACAGCCCATTGTGGATTGGGGTTGAATTCGTGATGTTTCTACGGAGTAGAGAGAAACACTAAACCTAGAGGAATCAACACTACCATCCAACTATTTTAATGCCCTATGCTTAGTTACAAGCCCATGTGACCAAGCCCGGCAATAAAATAATGAAATATTGATTCATATAAAGAACCTTAATACAAACTAATTAAGCGATGTGAGATTCGCAAATTACTTAATACCATTAACAAGTCTCAATTTCTTTAAACCCGCCATGTGAGGTCAATGAAAAACAAGGCACTGAGAAGGAAGCCTTCTAAATTTAGAAAGAACAAATATTTTTTATTCATCATTTGGATGCTTTGCTAATTTTGAGATTTGAACACAAGTTAAAATCATGCTTAATTTTCAAAACTCTGTTGTATAAACTTATATTATATGTATTATAAAAAGTTAACTTATTCAAAGTCAAATCGTTATGGTCACTATTAAAAGATATTTGAGTTAGACTGAAAATTAAGTAAATCAAATTAGAACATATTTCAAATCTTATTAAGTTTTTCAAGTTAAACTTGAGCAACTATAACTCACTTTTTTTTCTTTTTTTTAATAGCTGAGAACCTATTGTTTGAGAGGTCTATACTGCAAGTACATTAGAAAGACTAATAAACAAAATCCAAAATTCAAAAGATTAATAAACAAAACCCAAAAAAGAAAGAAAAAACTAGTCATCACCCACGGAGGGTAGAGAGTTATTTGCCAACTGCATACAGATTTACAGTTTGTAATGCTAGATCACCAACACAAAACTTATATAAAGGAACAAATATTTTCTAGCTTAGCCTATGTGGGAGGAAAATTAGAAAATATTACTCTTTTAGATGTATTTATTTTTATCAGAGTTATTCACTAAAATGACATGACAGTAGTGTCTTTAATTTCAGTATAAAATTCTATTGGTATACCACTTTTTTGAACATGTAGGATTTACAAATTGTTTGAATATGTAAAACGTATATTTTCAATTTTAGCATGTAATTTTTATTAGGAAAATATCTATTTATAGTTTTATATTACTGATAAACTTTGCAACATTTAAACATAACTTTCTAAGCTTTTCCATCTATCTGAAATTAATTTATAAACTTAACACTGAACTATTATTTCACCTTTTTTTTATTATTGATTATTTTTAATTTTAAGTTAGCAACTTCCCTTGGGAGGGTAGTTAGAATTTGGCTTGTCAATTTCCATATTATGGTCTGCATTCAAGATGAAGACTGGTACATGTTTCAATTATGGCTTTTAGTTTTACCTTTTTTGTTTTTGTTTTTGTTTTGAGGTACAACCATCAATTTTATAAGTGATGTTCAACATCAAAATAAACAAATAGATTATCATTCTGTCCTTTAAAAAAAAAAAAAAAAAAAAAAAAATTATCATTCTTAATGTAACCAATAAATAACTAATCTACAACCATTTGCCAAGGACAACCGCTGCAGCAATCTCCCTCGGTTGCTAAGCGTAGTTAGTAAACACCATCAAAATTTTAAAGAAATAAATACTTCAACTGCTGCTTCAAAGATATCCTCTCTCAACGCCAAAGACAATTAGATGCTCCAAATAGTTCTAGCAATAAAAATTTTAAGCCAAGGAAGCAACAATCCCGAGACCATTGTGTTGCGATGACTGGGGGCAACCTCAATACATGGCATAAATTTAGTGCTGATGAAGAATTAAGAGGTACGATTCCATGGTGAACCTCCACCATAACGATTGAAACCATTACTACTATGACTTCCATCTTGATAATGTCTCCACCGTTGCTTCTTTTTACCCTTCTCTTTCACCGACCCACTTTCTTCGTGCTTGACTTTCCCTGTCTCACCATTTTCTTTCGCCTTCTTAGAACGCTTCTCCTCCTTAGATGATGACTTCCGCTTCTTTCCAGAGGAAGAAGGCATACTAGCATACTCGACAATTCCATTTCCTCTGGGCAGCGGTTCTTCCTCGTCATCTAACCGCCAATTACAGCAAAGTTCCTGTGGATAACCATTATGGATCTCCAATGGCTCTCCTGCTCCGGGTAGCAAGTTATTAAATGTCATTTCCCCGGTAGACCCTCCTTTTCGTTCTAATAGTACTGGGTCAGGTCTTATTATGGTACCCAGAATACTCCTGTTGGGGCCTAGGCTCAAGATGGTCTTTGTATTTGTCAGTGTCGAAAAAGCCATGGCAAAAGCTGATCGAACCTGAAGCAGCAAAAGCAAGAAAAATGGCTTTATTGAACTTATGTTGCAATGTGGATTAAAGCCAAAGAGCTAAAAGACAGATGAATTGACAAATTTTCACCAATATGTTCCAACAAGCACAACATTAAAAACTTTATATATATAACACCATTACATTAGGACAGGACGAGGACATTGTGTGAGAGGTTTGGTAGAAAATTTGGCAGATTATTTGGGATCCCTAGCATAACTCTTTAAAAAATAATAATAAAACAAACAACAGCGCTAACACTCTAGAAGAGCCATCAAGGACCATATATCTCACAGTAGCCACCCTTTTTTGCCTCCTTTCTGATTTGTTTTCATAACAAATATTGGATTATCAAGAATTCCATATCACATCCTGAACATATATACCTCACATCTACAACAAAATGAATTACCAGACGTTGTTAAGGTATACCAAGTTCCCACATAAGCAAAAGAAATTATCAAGCAATCTGAAGGAAGAAAAGCAACAGAGACAGAACAATGAGACCATAAAGATCATACCTGGAAATAGCTAAACGAATTCTTCCCTATGTCATTTTCTGGTGCCTGTTATCACCCGAAAAGAAAAACTTCAATTATCAACCTGAAGAGGATCATATTGCTCCAAGGGGCAAGAGTCACCCAGGGCCCTATTTTATATTTTATTCTGTTTTGACCACAATGTTCTCCAACATTGTGCAGGAAACGCCATCTCATTCAATCTCAAAGCAGAAATTGTCAAACTGAACAAAATATAAAATAGGCGTAGAGGTGACCCAACATCTCTCAAAGACTGATTAAATAGTCCAAACAAGAGTGTAGCTAGCCAACCAATTAAAACCAGCTCAAGATTGAAATTAATAGAATACTTATTCCAGCCAGAACCACACCCCAATGTCTGGATTATAAGATTTCCCAAAAAGGTGCTGCAAAAATTGCAAATAGAAACATATCAAAATTCTTAAGGTAACCTGTGGGTCCTCAATGGAAAGAAGAAATGGTCTTCCTTTAACAGTAAACCTGAAAGAGGCATCAAAAACCAAGGAACAACGATCAAAATTGAATTATGTTTAATCAGACAATCTAACTCAACATCAGAAGGAAAAACAGGGGTACTATTGGTTTCCCATGGAAAAATTTTACCCTCTGCTACTCTTCAAGAAGAAGGTTCCTTCCCCATTGCAAGACACACCAATGTCGGATGTGTTCAATTTGCGTCCATAAATATCGAAAAAATTAACCTACCTTCCAAAACAAACTTGTCAAGGAGAATGTAGAAATCAAAATTTTAATTTTTTCCCAAAACAAAATTTTCCAACCAATCAAATTGAAAACACAGCAATCACATGCTGAACAAAAGCACTCCATGGTATATATGCATTTATGCATGCATGGTATCATCTGCAAATTTATAAATAAAATAAAATAAAAAACCAATTTTCTATTGCATGTCATCTTATAGCTCTAGTATTTTTACATTGGTGGGTTACTTTTTACCAGTATCTTTATTTATAGCACACCTATATCTGAAATATTATGATTGCACGTCATCTTATAGAGCTCTAGTAGTTAAACATAGGTGGGTTACTTTTTAGCCGTATCTCTGTTATAGCACCTATATCTAAAATATTAAGGTGCTCAAACAATCCCAATGCAAATTCACTTTGACAGGAAATTCATCTTAACATGGTCATCTGTTGAAAATCTGAATCACTCCAGGAGAAGTGAGAGCATACACAGTATATTTACTGGGAACCACAAAAAAAAAAAAAGAAAAAAGAAAAGGGGCATACCAAAAGGATTCCCAAGTTATGTTCTGGATAAGCTTGCTGCTCACTGAGGCTCTGCATAATCAAATGTATCATAAGGGAAGCAACAAATCGAGAAAACAAAATAAAATTAATCAAAATACAGATTTAGTAAAACAGTTAGTATTAAGCATTATTTGATCAACACAGTATTTACTTTGAGACAATGCAAATAACAACACATCTCTTGATAACAGGTAATAGAACAAATAAATAAAACCCTTTAGATCAACTGAGTAACAATATGAGGTTTCCTCTATAACATGCTACAGTCATTTGGCAACTGAAATGATAATTTTAGATGATAATTCAATGCAAATGTGCAAGAATATGGTAGCTATAAACTCATGGTTACAATAGTTCATTTTGGTCCTTTAATCAAATTGTGGTTGGTACTTGATTGATCTGATTCCCACATCATAACATTCTACATGCTAAAACAGATTCCAATAATTACCCGCAACATTGCTATGAGCATTGCAAGGAGTGCATAAGAACCAATTCCACCAGTATACACCTGTATATTGAAGACTCTAAAATTAGTCAAATCAGAAGAAAAAGTTAGTAGTAAAACTGATCACAATAAAATAAATAAATCCACACCTCATTTAACTCTCTTTGCTGCAGAAAAACTTTTAAGATCAAACACAATGGCCGTAATGGGGGCATCTTAGATACAGCATTCTGAAAAGAGAACCACATATATATTAGAAATTGCAAAAACCAAATCAAAGGAACTCGTGCATTTACATTTACTATGTGTTCATAACTAATCAACTATTTACCCAACTATTATGTGTGGGTGTCTATATACATCAATCATGAGAATAATCAAAAGATTATATCATAGGGAGAGACATCAAAACAAACCTTTATGAACTCAGCAGCTTTTGGTCCGTTTTGCAAATCAAAACTATAACAAAAAAGATACAACAAATATATAATAAGATCAACATTTACTGTCAAAAGAACATAGATTAAAAAGTGCCAAGGGAAAAACTTAAGAAACGTCCTAGCAGGCTGCCTAAAGACCTTTCTAAGCTACATGGCATTCAAGAAATCACCAATATAGTATTTGTCGAAACTTGAAATACCCACACAGAACCCTTCAATGATTTTATATATCCAATCAATTCGGTGCATACAAAAATGTTAAGACAGAAAAAATAAATAAATAAATAAATTGTAAAGACAAATAATAATAATAATAATAATAATAATAATAATAATAAAAGAAAATAAACAAAAAAATGGGTGAAGTAAATGGGTAGCCTAAATGCAAACACACTCATGAATGCTTTAGCAGGAAATTTGTTGAATACAATGAAAATGATAAATTTTGATTGAACCTTATATCAAATGCAACGCCACTTCTCTTCTCTACAAATTTGACGATTGGCACACGTGCCTTAGCAATAACCTGAAAAGTTAAACAAAACACATGTTAGATATTAATAGTTAATAATAATTATTTTTTAATTGTCAAATGAGGCACACCTGTATCTTCTTTGCGATGCCTCTTTGAGATAGGGCCCTAGCAAGGGCTTGCAAACCAATTTGTGGAGTTTTAATATCTGACCCCAGAATCACAACCTACAGTTTGGCAATTAGGTAGCCTAGTTATAGTGACAATATTTAATCATCAAATTTGTTCATCAACAAACAAATCACACCTCAACAATCCAGAACTGGATAAGAAAAAGAAAATTATCATTCTCAAAGGAATATTCATCTGAATGCCTTTGAAATAATGTTCTATTTATGAACAAGATTATGGACATTGTTCCTCCAGACATGGATAAATCGCAAATCACGTCAGCAAGAAGAATTCAATTTTCTAGGCAATCTAAATCAAGTTTGACACAAGATCATGACAAAAAATGTTCTTATGTGCAATTAAACATCATTGGTCACAAACAACAGCTATGCCAAAATCTTTATTGAACCTAATGGAATTTTTTCTCACATCCAACAATCAGTTGTAGCCCAATGATCTCACAGATGAAGAAACATGGAAACATATGTTTGATTTATGCCTAAATTGGCCTAAACTCTACTTCCATACTCATACTCATCATAGTTCCAAATACTGGCCAGTTCGTAGCGTACCGGCCCGTTTGAACTGGTTTTTGGTGCCTCCAATTCGGATACTGACCGGTATAACGGTCTGAATCAAATTCACCTACAAACTAGCCAATTCCACATGCGAACCAATGAAAATCCGATTTTGTGACTAATAAATGAATGAACCGGTCTGGTTCGGGGGGAAAAATTGAACTTTCTTTTAGTATGCCACACGGCAAACAGCTGGCCAACACCATAAAGAGGCTATTTAAAGCCATCAGACAACTCATTGCTTTGATAGTTTTCTGATTTGGGATAGAAGTACAAATTTAAAGTAATGGAGCCACCCCACTTTTGTTCCTCTTTGATGTGGGATTGAGCCATTTTTGTTTTCATAGTGACTGAACTGATAAGCCAGGAACTAATTGAAGCGGCAAGTTGGCAACATATTATTGTGATTCTTTTTTTTCATCTTAAATTTTGATAACTAATTGATGCAACATGGTTAAATAATTTTATTTATTCATACAACATACTATGACAAATTCAGATTAAAATGGACAAAAAAATGTGTATCATTAGGTTTTGGACAATTGCTAATGTTTTCAAAGAATTTCACCGATTCCCAACACGTATCGTTCGATACTCCCAATACCGTTACACCGCGATCGTTACCGTTACGTGTCCCAATACCGCAATTTAAAACCATGCTCATACTCGTCTAACGATGTTACCTAGATTCTTAAAAATTTTATCATGTCTTAGATATCTTCTTTTCCGACAGAGACATGCTCCACATTAATATACAGAGGCCAAATTAGACACTACAAAAATTACAGTGCAGCAGAGTTTGAGTCAGAAGATTCTTAATGAAACATTGAACAAATATATATATATATATATATTATTTTTCTCCAAAAAAATATTTTCAATAATAATACTTGTCTTTTAAGTAGGTTAGCCTTTCAATGTTGATCAGAAAAAGCTGACCAATTCTGTCTAAGCAAGTATACCAGCAACAATCACTTGCACAGAATGCTTACACTTGATGACAGTTCTCTACATTCCCATCTTTCCAATAAAAAGACCAATATTCTCCTATCATCAATGAGGCAAAACAAAGATCAAATTGAAAGCATTTTCATGCAGTAATGATAAGTTTGAATAACATGACTTTAAAAATGAAGCAAGAAATTTAAACTTTAATGAGCAGAACAAGCTAATCATGTTCATAACTAACAACGGAGAATTTATGAATGCAGGAGAAACACAGTATCAATTACCATGTACAAACATATGGGATTAGATTCCTGCAGGGGTACAAATTAAATACTCCCATAAAACAATTACAAGGAAGCAATGTACTTACATCAATATCACTAGTTGGAAGATAAAGCCCAGTCTTGAACGAACCAAAAACCTCTACCTGCAAGCAGGAATACTAATAAAACTTGTCACACTTCTGACTTCCTAGACTTTGAATACAAATTACTTTAAAAACATGTGTATACACTTGCATGTATATATTTATATTTGCACGTCTGTGGGTATGAAGGTGTGTGTATGCACACGCACACACCTTGCTGTTGGGCCAAATATATCGGACAACATCAAAGACACATTCTACTGCAGCATTTCGTGATGCTTGCTCTTCTGGAGTCGGTGAGAGAAATTCGCAAAAATCCAATATCTCTGTAACATCCACAATCAAACAATGAGGATACACTTCCAATGTTTTATTATTAAAATTGGTAGAGACATTTAAAGAGGTCACTAACTCCTCACATTCATTACGGTTGCTTAAAATCATAAAACATTCAAGTATGCAAGATATGCTCAAATAACTGTAGTTGATGCAGCAAACAGAACAATTGTTGCTAGACCAAGAAACAAGCCCTTGGCATTAAAGAGTAAGCCAGGAAATAATTAAATAAAAATGAAAAATAGTCATCTAAGTAATAAATTAGTCAAAACAGTCAACGAATCAAGTCTTAGGAAATTGAGTGCAATAATGTGTGATATTTCGTGTGAATCTAGGAAAAAGATATCTATTTTTTAGAGTTCTTAAATCTCCAAGGGTCTGAACGTCTGTTCTTGAGGGTATTCAGGTTTTGAATTTTCTTGGTAAACGTCCTTTGTTTCTTATTGAGTGTCTATACAGTAGTAGCTTGGCTCCATCCTTTGGGAAGCTCACTCTTCCATCATTAGTTGAAGCCTCTTTTCATTGTTCTCTACAATTTTCTGCTATTTATTTTTTCTTGTTCTTTCTATTCAGATTTTTAGTTTCTTCTTCTGAGACATCAAAACAGTAACCATTTGGTTGGTATCAAAGATGTATTGCAGGACAAAACCATGATTCAAATCATCATGGCAGCAAGAAGAAGTAATAATTGGTTTCTTCTTATTTTCATTTTTCTATCAAATTACCGTTACAGAATATTACCGTTAGAGAATATTACCAAAAAAAAAAAAAAAAAAAAAAAAAAAGAAGAAGGAGGAGGGAAGATCAAATCTATGGTTGGGATTTGAAGTTAGTGTTGTGGGCCCGTATCTTAAGTAAATCTAAACCATTGACGTCAAATTCTAGGTATTTTCTAGGTTTTTATGTTTGGGATTGTAGTATTGCTCAATGAAAATAAAATAAAATAAAGATCTGAGTAGCAAGTACAAGAAAACATAAGCTAGCTGCAAAAAGCAATACTACAATCTCATATCTTAGTTTTTTCCTTCTAACATATCAAACTAAGTAGCCTTTTGGGGGTGCACTGCATCATGAGGTCTACACAAAGCCTAATCTACAACCAATATTTTCATGCAACTTCAATTCCCTAAAATGCATATAATTTTTCCCCATGCTAAGCAGCAACAGGTAATCAATCCCCTCAATAATCGCTAAAACAGAAATAGCAATTTAACACTAGTTCCAAATTTAGATACAAACATAACTTCAAAAAGTACCAATGGACCAAAAAAAACAAACAAAAGCATTATTGAGACATTTTGCTTAAATTGGAATGAAATCAATTGAAAACAGAACCTTTGTGGAGCTGAAGCATGGGGCTCTTGAACCGACAATTCGCCCGAAACCAACCGCCCTCAAGCGTCCTCTCCGGTTCCGGAACCTGTGCCGGAGTCGCCGGAGTAGCAATCAAATCAACTGCCGCTTCCTCATCATCATCATCGGCACCGACGTCAAGAGAGAAGTAATCTACGGCGGCGTTCTTCGGCGAGGGGCAGTGAGTTGCCGTGAGAAGAATTTCATTGCGGAACACAACATAGGGCTCGGAAACCTCCACCGGCGGTGGTGGTTGACCGGTGGGTGCGGCAGCGGCGGAGGAGGAGAGAGGTCGTCGTCATCGACGCTCGAACACCTAAACTCGATCTCCATTGGAATGGAATCAAGCCGCCCGTGAGAGCATATCTCAGTTTGATGGCGGTTTGGATCGGGGCAGTGCTAGGGTTTCAATTTTGCAATATTCGCCCAAGCATCTCCAACGGTTATTGCTAAAAGAATAATCCTATACACACAACAGTACTAGCTAATATATCAGTACTAGCTAATATATCAATTAATATGATATAATTTAAGATATTTTTAATATTTATAATTTATTAATAACATCATAGAATAATGTTATAGATATTAATTAGTATATCAATTAATATATTAATAGATGATATGGTATAATTATATCAAAAAAATAAATGATATGGCATAATTTTATAAATTTTAAATATTAATAATTTGTATAATAGATGAAGTCAGTAGTAATGTTATAACATATATTAATATATTAATTAATACATATAGTATTACTGGTGTCATAACTAAAGTTAATACACTAATTAATAGTATATTAATTGGTGAGAGGTCCCAAAAATTCTACCAAAAGTTTTATCAAATATGGGTGTGGGACTCACATAGGACCCACATTGTGTGGGTCTCACACTCATATGAGACATTTAGTAAAACTTTTGATGAAATATTTAAAATCTCTAGCATTAATCTTCTAAAATTGTATCCACAAAGTAAAAACAATGTTCCCATCTTGAATTAAAATTTTAAAATATCCCATTACACCAATTTTTTTTTATTATTAATGAATATCATTTTATCATTTCATTTATGAGTTTTTATATTTTGATCCCATCAACTTTTAAAATGTAATAATTTTATCGCTTTAAATCATATCTTAAAAACGTGTATTTGTATGATTTTTATGATTAATGAATCAAAAGGAATAAAGTGACATTCAATCATAGGTAAAGGTCTTGCTATAATATTTACCTTAAAAATAATTGGTCAAATCCGTTAAAATTTCATATTTTGATGTACTTGTATTTGCACCAAATATAAGTCTTGTTTCGCATTATTTAAAAAAGTTAAAACGTTACTATTCTATTTAAGTCACTATCTTATTTAAGTCACATCATCTTATCTAAGTTATATTACCTCTCTAATATATCATTTTAAACCCAACAAATACCCAACTCATATTTTATAAAAAGTACACTTATTTAGATCATTCAAAACCACCATATAATTTAGTATGAATATTAATTTTTTTAGGTGGTTCTTTCGTAATCCATTGCCAGATTTTAATTTTTACATATGTATCATGTTTGATATTTTGTTCAAGTTGACACAAAAAAAAAAAGTCATGAACTTATATGTTTTATTAAATATTTTACCAAATATTTTATATGGGTGTGAGATCCACACCATGTAAATCCTATGTGGGTCCTACGCTCATGTAAAACATTTGATAGAACATTTGGTAAAACATTTAAGATCTCTAGCATTAGAGGTGAGCAGCGGATATACCGATCCTTCAAAACCGACCGAACCAAACCGATCTGCTGCATTTTGGACTGATGCATGATGACGAGCGGACGGTTACGGATTGATTTTCTCCAATCCCCCAATCTGGCGGACGGATGGCGGATTTGAGATTTCTTTGGCCGCAACCGAACCACCAAACCGCGAGCACCCCTATTAATTTATAAGACTTTGTATTTTCAGTTTGTTTAAATATTCTGTTTGTGTTTTCAATTAAAAAAGAATTTAAATATTCTGTTGAAATTTTTTTTTTAACTTGAATATCTTTTTTAAATTGAAAACAATAAACGTATTATTTATCTATATATTTTTTGTTTTTAAATCTATCTCTAAAAATAATAAATAGAAAATATGATATATGCTGGTTGATTTTTGTTTTCAAAAACAGATATAGATGTAATACAGAGACATACAATCTCTACTACTGTTCTGTTCATGGTTTTGGTGGTTTGAATTATTTTTATATTTTAAGAATCACAGATGGTAATATTTTATGTGGATAAGGCATACTACTGTTCTGTTCATGGTTTTGGTGGTTTGAATTATTTTTATATTTTAAGAATCACAAATTGTAATATTTTATGTGGATAAGGCATGTTGTGATTGTAGTATGTGGATGAGGCATGCAATGATTGTGATATTCTAAAGTTTCAAATTTTCTTACTTTGGATGAGGCATGCAATGATTGTAATATTTTTTTTAAGTCATTGACTGTAATACTTTCTTTTTCTTTTTTTTTCTTGAGGAAGTATACAAGTTGAATTATGTTGAAAATTTATAAAATTTTAAACCGCCAAACCGATTCGCATCCAACCGCCAATCTGCCGGCGGGCGGATACGAATTGATTTTTTCCAATCCACCAATTTGGCGGACGGATGGCGGATTGGAGATTCCATAGCCGCAACCGATCCGCGCCCACCCCTATCTAGCATTACTTAACACAAAAAGGGATTGGCTTCCCTCCAATCCGTAATCAGACTGGGATGGTATTGTTGGACCCGTGGGAGTCCATCACGGGTTTCGTTTCAATAATTCAAACCATTCAATGTATACAATTCGTCAAGTATTATATGCCTATAAAAAAATCATGTTGATTGGATATTGATAGCTATTCTATCAAATCAGATTTCTGTCAACCATTTATTTTTTCACCGACTATTTTTTTAATACAAAACTAATTTAATCACGTAATTATCGATATCCGATCAATATGATTTTTTATAAGTATATAGTATTCGACGAGTTCTACACATTGAACAGTTCAGATTATCAAAATAAGATCCGTGGTAGGCCCTCATAGATCTAACAATACCATCCAATCTGATCACATATGAGAGAGAAACCATACCTAACCAAAAAAAAAATATGAAACTTGTATCACTAGGGATTATGTGTTTAGATAAACCGGATATCATAAGTGAAGCACAGGGTTAAAAGTGAATTTTTTCTATCTAAAAATGATAAAAATGTATGTGATTTGTCATTCAAAGAGTCTGATAGTACACTTTAAACCACGAATCACAAAAAAAATTATACTTATTTTTAAATGACACAGTTTATATGCACATAAGACAAGCCACAATAAAATAAAATAAAATTTGCCCAAAAATACTCTCCCATATGTAACTAGGAACGAGTTTTTTGACTCATCTAAACCGATTTAAATTAATTTTTGATATAGATCTCTATTTTGTTAAAAAAATTAAATTATTTCATCATTATAATCCCAAAATGTAATTATATTTTATTAAAAAAATAAACAATAAGTTCTAATTTGAAAGAAAAAAAAAAACTGTCCATTTTAAAAAAATAATAATAAGAAGAAGAAGAAAATTATGTGATTATAGTTATTAAATTAATTTAATTTTAAATTGTTAAATAATGATCTATACCTAAATGATTATAAAATAAAAATAATTAATCACAATTGCTTGGGCACCAATCAGTGTGTTTAGTTTGAGTTTTTTGAATTAAGTTTTTTGAAAATTGAGTTTTTTGATTTTCGTATTCTTTTGTTTTTAGTGAATATTTTTTCAACTTTAAACATTTTTTTTACTTTTTAGATGCACCTTAGTTAGATGTATCTAAAAAGTAAAAAAAAAAATGTGAAAAAATATTTTAAAAAATTAATAAATACATAAAAATACAAAAAATGTACTGAATTCTAGTATTTTTTTTTTATATTTTTGGTATTTAATGAATTTTTAAATGATTTTTTTTACAATTTTTTTACTTTTTAGACACACCTAACATAAATACAATCTAAAAAATTTAAAAAAATTGTTTAAAATATTAAAAAAAATTCAATAAAAACAAAAAAATACGGAAGTAAGAATGTAGAATTTTCTGAAAAGTGTTATCTGAAAACAAAAAAATACGGAAGTAAGAATGTAGAATTTTCTGAAAAGTGTTATCTGAAAAATGAAGACAAGCAAGCTGAATCTTATTATCTCCCCAAGAAAAACCTTATTTATAACTTGGGCACCAAAAAAGATTTGCAAATTTTACGGGTTAAGTCTTGTTTGCCAACTATATATTTTAGTCAAAAAGTCATTATAAATTATCGTATTATTTTCTCTATTTTTTTACATCTTTTCATAAAAAGTCAAAAATTACTAAAATAATGTTTTTCTAAGCAAAACTTTAATCTCGTTTTTGTGATACTAGTGGGTGTTTGGACTTTCTTTGTGAAATTTTTTAAAAAACTTTAGACTTTTAGCTTTAATTTGATGAGACAAACTGAAAAATTAATATATATATATATAAAGTTCATAAAAGATAAAATAAGTAAAATATATATATATATATTTTTTTTTTGCTTTTTCCTTTTTTTTAAACAATATTTTTTAGATTTGTTTACACAAGACGAATCTAAAAAATAAAAAAATTAAAAAAGTTTCACATAATTTTTTTTAAAAAAAATACTAAAATAAATAAAAATATTTAGAAAAATATAACACCCAATTTGGTACAAATTTTTAATGAAAAAGAATGACATTACTTGTGTTAATACCCGTGGATACACAGTTTTATCTTATACTTATTTAAGTGTATATTGTTTATAAAATAAAATTAAAAATGAAAAAATATATATATATATATGATGATCATTAGTCTTTTATTATGTTAAATTTGTACTTAAAAAATAAATAACAAATCTAAATTTATAAAACAATTTATTTAAAAAACAATCATACCCCATATATGTATATATATTATTAAAATCATTATTTTTTCTATATCTACGTGGCACATTGTAAATGTTAGAATGACGTGAGCAAGTATTTTTTTTAATTACATATAAAATTCTACACAAAATCAAACTTAATTTAAATTATACTATTTTCCACATATTTTCATGGTAAATTGAGATAATTCACAAACTCAATACGTTTCACGTTTTTCTTCTTAATTATTTCAAGGGTGTTAAGATTTTTTTTAATGCTAAATTCTCTCCTTTTTTTAATCTTATTTTTTTGTGTATTATTCTATACCAAATACCAATTCTA